TTATACTACATCTGGAAATTAGTAATAACAACACTTAACCTGTACCTTCAAAACTAATTGCTTCTTCTAAGACAAAAGCCAGATGAGATATTCATCACTTGAAGTGCTCCAGCTAGAAATAGAAAAGGGCAGGGTGCCAGTGAAGGGCAGGGCTCTTTTTTATGATACGAAAAGGCACTTCTCATTTCTTTTGTCTACCTTTCTGTGTGTATCACGAGTTAACTTTTTTTTTACTGTATATGTTGTTAATAAAGATGCATAAGTTGTTGTTTTGATTATTTACTCGATCAAATTTGCATTAGAAAAGTCATTCATACTACATGTTCATAAAACATGGCAATACACATTCATACATCAGATCACTAATAACCAAAAGAAGCGAAATAAACTTACTATTCTCCCCCCCCCCTTGGAAAAAGGCGTCAGAGAGGGGCGCAATTGAAGGCACCCAGGGCGTGGCTAAGGGCACCCAGGGTGCGGCGCCCTTCTAATTTGGGCTGAAGAGACCACTGTCTTTTATACATATAAGATGTAATATTCTCATATTCAAACGACCAACTATAGTAGTCAGAGGCGGATTTAGAGAGTTTTTCAGGCCCCCCCCCCCCCCCTTTTCGTGGGAAAACTTTGGTTGATCATATACATTTTGTGAATCACTGAAGCATGACTGGAGCTGGCCCCCTCTTATGAAAATTTCTAGATCTGCCACTGGTAGTCCATTTTGTCTAGCAGTAATCCTCAAAAGTAAATAATACGTTTTTCTTATCAACTTGATTATAACCTTGTTAACTATTACATAACTGTCAAGACACAGTATGCATGTTAAAACTACTTGCATTGTCATAAAGAGTAAACAATCATATACCACAAAACAAACAAAAAAGTGTTTGTATCGTTACTCTAGCTATTACAAACCATATATATATATTATCATATGTGACAATCAAGCCTCCTTCAATGATAACCCTGATTCACCAATACTACAACTAAAATCAATAAACAGCTGCGCCATGAGCGCATGATATGCCCGTCGTCTTGTGGGTGAATTTTTATTTTTTTTTTTATCTTTTATTTGTTTTTCAATAGTCAGGATTTAATATACATGTACCCCTACACTACCACCTGACAAGGGTATCAAGGGGTTACATATAAAAAATAATTCAGTATACAATATATATCACTGACAAGTTGATTTTTATAATTATACATGTAGTATTTAAGGTTACATATAAATTTTATTTGATTATATTCTCTCGCTCTCTGACTTTCTCTCATACAATACAAATACTCTTCACTCATTTGCTTTGCTACAATATGTACATGATGTATCTTGACTTACATTTTAAAAACAAAATATTTTAAAGAAGAAAAAAAACAAAAAAAACTCAAGGCTAAATATTTGCTCATGATATATAGATATTTTATTCTCTCACTTATATGAAACAATAATTAATTAAATATTACATGTAAAGGAGACCAAAATTTTTCACACACTTGGACTCTATTATTTTTCTTTGCAATATAATATTCAAGAAATTGGTATTTCTTTATTCTATTCTTTAACCCAACCATATTTGGTTTTGTTTCATTTAATTTACATTTGTATATATAGTTTTTTGTAATTATGACTAACAGATTCAGTAATAAACTTTCATGTTTGCAACCAAGAAACACATTCTCTTTGTTAAGAACAAAGTTTACAAAAAAAAGTTTTACTGCATTTGAAAAAGACTGCCACAATTGAAAAGTTATTGGGCATTCAAAAAAAAGGTGTTCAATGGTTTCTTCACCAAGTTTACAAAAAGTACACATCTTGGTGTCTTTTAATTTAATTTTGTATAAAAAGGTATTAGTTGCTATGATTCTATGCAAAAATTTGTATTGAAAAGTTCTTAAATAAACATCTCTACATGATTTTTTGGTTATCCTGAAATATTCTGACCATTCTGTTGTATAAATAATCAACAGTTCTTCCCATTTCGAAAACTTGACTGTTGGTAGTTCAATAACTTTATTTACTAAATTTTTATATACAAATTTGGCTTTCACATTACCTATAATTCTCTTTAAAAAAATATCACCATTATCAGGCTTATCCAAATCTTGCTTTAAACAGTTCTCTTTAAGGTATTTTTTCATAGTCTGAGGGATTCTTGAAATCAGACCATGATATTTGATAAAATTGTTGATTTTTACTCTTTCTTGAAATTGCTCAAATTTATAAAAATTCATATTTTCTTTATTAATTAGGTCACTTACTGACTGCACACCTCCTTGTTTCCATTGAATATAATATGGGAAATCATCCAAAGAGGAAAAGTTCAAAATATCTAATGATAAAATGTCACTGACAGAATTCTCAGTATTAGGTTTTGCGATAGAAAAGCATAGTAAAACATCCTTCCAGAAAGGATTTTTACATTTTTTAGAAATCTCAATCAGCTTTTCTTTCTGTAGATGTAAAACCCTTTCACCCCCATACTGTATAAGGTCTGCCAGTAACAACTGCTGCCAGCCACCAACTGGGTTTGACATCAGTCTTTTTATCCAACTAATTTTTAAATAGATATTAAAGGAATGAAGATGTACCATATTAAGTCCACCTTGTGAAATATCACCAATAAGTGTGTTACGCTTAATTCTGTCTGGTTTTCCACTCCATATAAAATTATAAAATAATGAAGTGAGCTCTGTTAACCTGGATTGTGATAGGTTTGGCAATGCAGTCATTAAGTGTACCAATTTCGAAAGAGCAAGTGATTTAACTACTGTAATTTTCCCCAATAATGTTAGTTTACGATGTTGCCAGCTCTTCAGGATTGCAGAGACTTCTTTAATCTTCTTGGCAAAATTAATTTCTGTGATACAGTTTAAATCTAAAGAAAATTCAATCCCCAAAAGTTTAAAATTTGAATGTGACCAATGAAGTTTTAAGTCAGGACAAAGAATCATATCTGAATACTTTTTGTTTCCAACCCATAGTGCTTTTGTCTTTGAAGCATTTATTTTTATACCTGAAATTTTATAAAAAGATTCAAAACATGAAAGTGTTTCCCTCAACGATATTTCCCTTCCATCTAACATAAGGAATGTGTCATCTGCATACTGGCTTAAAAGTGATTCATTATCATTTACAGTTATTCCCCTTATTTCAGGATTATCTTTTAATTTTAAAGATAGTAATTCAACACCAATTATAAATAAATAGGGTGAAAGAGGATCTCCTTGTCTGCAGCCTCTTTCCAATTGAAAAAACTTTGAAGTATGTCCATTATTTATAACACAACTTGATGCCCCTGAGTATAAAGTTTCAAACCATTTACAAACTGAAGGCCCAAAATTAAAACTTTTTAAAGAATTTTTTAAAAATAACCATTCTAAGGAATCAAAGGCCTTTTCAAAATCAACAAGTAATAAAAGACCTGTCTTATTATTTTCTTCAAGATAGTGCATTAAATCATATAAAAGGCGTGTGTTCTCACCCATAAATCTATCTTTGATGAAACCTTTTTGTGTATCACTTATGACAAATGGTAAAACTGGTTTAAGTCTATTAGCTATAACAGCAGAAGCTATTTTCATATCAGTATTCAAAAGACTAATAGGACGCCAGTTACTTATATACTGTCTGTCTTTCCCCTCCTTAGGAATGCATGTAATTACACTTTGATACTGAAAATCAGAAAATTTTCCAACCTCGTATCCAAAATGAAGAGACCGAAAGATGAAAGGACCAATATCTTTCCAAAAAAATTTATAAAAGTCTACTGTGTACCCATCAGAACCTGGACTTTTACCATTTGTCATAAATTTTAACGAATCAGCACACTCTCTAAAAGTTAAATTTCCCTCACAAAAATCTCTTTGTTCTTCTGTGAGCTTAATGTTATGATTAAAAAAATTTTTATGCAATAAGCATAAATAGTTTCTGACATACGGCGTGACATGTGAAAACCCCCCTTTTAAAAAAAAAATCAATATCTCGAAAATAAAATTTTGAATCAAAACCAATAAGTATACAGATCTTTAGATTAATATAACTAAGAAGTGTGTAAAATTTTATGCAATAATCATAAATCGTTTATGAGATACGGCGCGACATGTGAAAAACCCCTCCCCCTTTTTTTTACAAAATACTCAATAACTCAAAAATAAAATTTTGAATCATCACCAAAAAGTATACAGATCTTCAGGTTAATATAACTAAGAAGTGTGTTAAGTTTTAAGCAATAATCATAAAATGTTTTTGAGATACGGCGCGACATGTGAAAAAAAACACACACCTGTTTTAGTTACTAAGTCCCGTAACTCAAAAAGTTTTAATCTTATTTTCACCAAAAAGTATACAGATCGTTTGACCATCATAAGAAACAACTATGTTAAGTTTCATGAAATTTGGATAAGTCATTCTCAAGTTACGGTGCGACAAGTTTCGCCGGACAGACAGACGGACAGACAGACGGACGGACGCCGGACATTTGTATACCATAATACGTCCCGTCAAAAATTTGACAGGCGTATAAAAACCAGGAGAAAAAAGACACCATATATTCTAATGCTTGGAGTGCAAGATTCCAATAAAAAAAAACCTATACCCACAAACCACCGATCTCAATACATGTATAAGCAGCTAAAATACGGCAAGCTTTTTAGAAAAGCTATTACTTGTGATAATATGCCATCTAACGTTAATCGTGTGTTTATAATAATGCGAAAATTGCACTGTACATGAACACATCATTGTTTATCAAAGATTTGAATTATGTTGAATGTGTATTTTTTATATTGTTATGAATAATTACTATGATTGCATTGCTTAACATCGGCCTGTTTTTCAGGGTTCGTGTTTTACACAATCTTCACTTCTTTTAATTACAATGTATATTGTTTTTATTTGTTGTTTGTCTATAAGTCGTTTTTTGTTTTAATGTTTGTACAATATCTCAACTATGTATTCTACTATATATATAATAATTATAAAAACTGATATAGAAACCCACCTTCCTTTCAACTGTCTTTCAAACTCTGTTTCCTTTAAAGTAGATAGTTTGAGGCCACCCTCTTTTATTTTGATTAAGATGCCACCTGATGCTTTGGCATCTGCTTTTAAATGTGGCAGTTTGTTGAATACTTCCAAAGAAAGCTTTCCGCTTACACCACAACTTATTTCTTTGGCTTTGCAATAATTAACAAAATTCTTTGTTTCGATAGGTATATTTGCAAAACCATCGGAATCTCCTGATAAAAGATCTGAAATCTGAAGAAAAGATATCAGTGTCATAAACATTGACTATTTATGATATTGGCTCAAAAGATATGTTTGATATTTTTTAAAAGGAAACGTTCACACATGAAACCAAAATGTGAACAACACGATATTTGCAAAACTGTGTTTTTTCTGTGACAGTTTATGAAGTCTTTACACTAAGACTATTGGAATTGTACTGATTGATATTTTCGTTTTGGATTCCGGATTTTTTTGATAAATTCTTTATGCCTTTTAAACTATTTTGAAAAACTGTAAGTGATCTCAGATCGATACTTTGTGTCTAAAGTCTCTTGTTTAGCTGTTTGTTTTTGTTTACACCGTGTTGATTTGATGAATCAAGCCCTTTTCAACTAGTTTTCATAGTTTGTTTTTATGTTTTGTTGTTACACCACTGTTCAAATTTTTGGGAAGGGTTAGTCACCGAAAAACATGTTTACCCCGCCATATTATGTATGTAGGAGCCTTTAAAACAGTGGTTGTCATTTGTTGCTGTAAGTCATACTGGTTTTCTCTTATTGGTTTTTACGTAAATCAGGCCGATAGTTTTCTCGTTTTTAATTGGTTTCCTTTTGTCATGACGATGCCTATTATAGTTTGGTAAGCCGAATGGGTTTTGTGCATTGTTGAAGGCCATTTGGTTACCTATAGTTGCTAACTTCTAAGTGATATGTCTATTGTGGTAAGTTTTTTGCATTGGCAATCATACCATGTCTTCTTCTTTTTATATGTTTTTTTTTTCTAAATACTGTAATAAGAATAATATATCTATGTATTGCCCTTTTCTTTAACAAAAGATAAAACTAAAGTGGCATGATACAGAGAAATGCATAAATGTATAACCTCAAATGTGTTTGTACTCAAAGAAAATGTAAGATATACATATAAGTGCAACTGTAGATATGGCGAGGTCGAACAAACAGAACATAAGTAAGGGGTAAGTCCATGAATATCAGGACTATTTAATGACCTTAACTCAAAGAACTTTAAACACAAATGAATAGAACTAACTTCGCATCCAGTGTTGACTTTTGCTTGTATTCTATTGAAAAAGATATTATCATGATTATAATCAGAACAATTCGTTGAAAAAATACAAATTGGTATGGGTTATAAACGAAATCAAATTTACACAGAAAAAAAATATGTGTCGGAACGAAACAATTTTTAGGAGTGGACATTTGAGAATGAAAGTCCGTATAACTGTCATTTTCATGACATTTTCAAAGTTCGAAGCCCGCAATTTCGGCAAAAATCAGCGGAGCGAAACTAAACGTAAACTAGATCTGTAATTCATCATAGTAGACTCACATACTAAAAATCTGCTAAATATTAATAAAGTAATTTAAAAAAACATCAGCATAACTGTTAATTTCACGAAATTTTCAAATTACAAAGCCCAGAATTTCGAAAAAACCATCGGAACAAAACCATCGTAAACTCGATCATAGAAGTAGTAAGGTGGGACTGATTTACTGCAAGTCGAAAACCAAAGGCGATTAGGCGCACCCATATAAGGCACTTGCTACGTCACCGAAAGTCAATACCGGGTATTGCCCGATGACGCAGACCAAAAGTAACGTCATCTTCGTATCATCTACCCTTATTAGGCGACCACATCCTTCAAACAGGATGAAATAGCGTCATCCTTTTAATTGCCTGCGTAAATGGCGCACACAATAGAAAAAATGATTCACACCAAACATGGTCATGAAATGAAACAACCAAGGAAAATGAGGGCTCGATCTATAAGACGATTGTCTCTTCACCGATGCCTTATTTATTAATCGACCGAGATGGAAAACGCATGTTGTAACATTAAGTTAAGAACAGCTAGATTTGTACAGGCCACAGAGTGGAAAGATAAAAAAAAATCGATATCGGCAATGGAAAACGTAGAATAGGTAGCGATTTCCAATGAAAAAGCGAATCAGTCTCCCCTTATTCGTTGGAAAATGTTGGTGGACAGTTTTGAAGTTTTGGACCACGCTTTAAATGAGAGGAAGGATTTTTTGACACATCTAGGAGTAAATATGTATTGCAGTATCAAGGCAGACAGCATTTTAGTTAAATATAAGACAACACTGGTTACCGCCCAATCAGACCGATGTTGATACCGACCAAGAAAGAAATTTGTTTAAGACCTTCATAATACAACGGAGGCTGCCTGAGTTGTTGGTAACTTTGTTCCTGAACTGTCTTCTGTCATACCGTGCCCTTAAATATCCGACAACATGAATCTGTTTGGGAATTCTATTCTGTCCAGAGGGCAATCCGGATCATTTTACAGAATGGTGAACAAATGACTTTCGTACATTTTATATATATACAATACAGTATGATTTATTTATAGTAGTCAATGTATGTTTGGTGCATTTATGTATATTTTCTTGATAGTACAGTAGACACAGCCTCATTTCAATCTTTTTTTTCTATTTCAAGACATATTTTTCATTCGTTTAGTTTTTTTTGTAATTTTTTTATTTTCATGATGAAACATGTGAAATTACATACTACAGTATTAGACACAAATAAAAAAAAAATTAAGTAACACTTGTAAGATTGATCAAGTCATAAAGATATAATAAGATATAACTATTACAATTGATTTTGTTAATTAAAAGCTGCTTCTAACAAATGCCATTTCTGATCCCTTTTTACTTTTTGTACAGGGGTTAAGAAATATACAGAGTATTTTTCTATATTAATTAAATATTTTAAATATTCTATCCCACCATATTTTGTGGGGGATACGTCTTACATCTACATTTGTATATATAGTATTTAAATAACAACAAAATATTATTAACTGTTTTACTGCTGACAAAATCCTCAGACACACCTAAAATGACTTCTTTTGCACTGAAAGGCAAGAGAATGCCATAATTTTTAATCCAGTCTATAATGGATAGCCAGAGGTTTTGTGTAACATTACATTCCCCAAAAATGTGAAAAATATTTTCTCTGATTTCTGAACAAAATGTACATAGTTCAGTTTCTTTTAATTTACATTTCAATAAAAAAGAATTACATGGTAGAATCCTATGAACAATATTAAATTGAAAATTTTGTAAAAACGAATTTCTTGTTATAATGAAGGGCATGGAATTAATAGCATTCCAATCTTCAATCTGCATATTTAAATCTATTTTCAATTTATTACGAGAAGATAAAGATAACACTTTATTATCTTCCAAAAATAATTTTTAGAAAAATTTACAAGATTTTGGTTCCTTTTTAACTTTATCTATTAAATTATCTTCAATATTATCAAGTTTAGAACTACCTTCTATCATACTTTTCCATCTATTTGGAATAGCACTTAAAATACCATAAACTCTACCAAATTAGTATTGATATTATTCTTTTTTTTAAATTCTTTAAATGAGAATATTGTATTAATATCTGACACCAGATCATTAACAACAAAATATACACTTTTCAATATATTTGAACTTCAAAATCATCTTGCCAGCCATTTTGATGTATGGGTTCAGCCATATGGACTGGGCCAGAATATCAGTATTGTTTTCAACTTTCAACTTTTTTCAACTTGGAAAAATTTACCAGAATATCATGTCAAAAGTCCTTCCTGACTTAAATGTAAAATGTTGTCCCCCCCCAGTGTTCGGACATTACCACTGCTCTTTTCACTTTGTCAGGTTTTCCTTTCCATTAAAAATTGAAAAATATATTCTGAATCTCCTTCAAAACCCCTCCTGGGGGATTCGGGGGGGGGGGGGGGGGGGGTTAGGTAGGAGAATCAGAACTTGAATCAAAATGGGAAGTGCTAAAGTTTTAATAACTACAACCCTTCCAATATATGTTAGTTCTCTATAAGCCCAAGTATTGAGCAATGACTTGATACTGTTTATCTTGGCTGTAAAGTTACATAGAGTCTTATCCACTTTAGCAAGCTCAAACCATATACTGTAAATTCAGAAATTATTGCGACGTTTTTATTATTGTGAATAATGCAACTGGGTTATAATCGCAATAATTCAAACTCGCATTTTGAAATTTTTCATATGAATTAAACAGGATTTTTCTCAATATCTAAAAAATTAAAATCGCATTTTAGTCTAAATTTACAAAATCGCTATAATAAACGCACGCAATTATTTCTGAATTTACATTTCCTAATAGTTTGAACCTCCCAGACAGGTTCCAAACAAGATTTTTTTCTGGCAAAAGTTTTTCCATCCTACCCTATTTGACCCAATCCATATGGATTCAGTTTTGTCAACATTACATTTAAGTCCAGCACATTCTGAAAATTTATGAAACAAATATAAACATTGATTTAGGGACTTTTGGTCACCATCTAGGACTACGGAAGAATCGTCAGCATATTGACTCAACAAAAATTCCGAGTCATTAATTGTTTCACCAGCAACATCAGGGTCATTTTAATAGCTGCATTGAGTAATTCCAGCACAAAAATAAATAGATAAGGAGATAGAGGATCCCATTGACAAACCCCCCTTTGCAATGAAAACAATTCTAATATTATCCGTTATTTAACACTGCACTAGAGGCATCACAGTAGCATGCCCTTAAGTTATTCAACTAATAAATGTATGGTTATTAAAGGCATAAAACTGCAAAGCCTCTAGTATAAAAGACCATTCGACTGTGTCGAAAGCTTTTTCAAAACCGACTAAAAGTAAAAGTCCAGGAATGTCGTCATCCTCCATCTTTTCCATCAGATCATAAATAAATCTAGTACATTCGCCTATATACTTACCTTTAAGAAAACTATTTGTGTTTGACTTATTATATTTACCAGTACCTTTTTTAGTCTATTTGCTAGACTTGCTGTAGCAATCTTATCGTCTACACACAACAGTGTGATAGGTCGCCAGTTCTTTAGATAAAATTTTGAAGACCCTCCTTTGGTATACAAGTAATGAGTCCCTGTCTTTGAGTGATAGAGAACTTTCCATATTCTAAAGCCTCATTTAAACATCTTACCAGTGGTATCTTAAAAT